CTCTATCGGTAAAATTACTAGCGCTGCCGTTAGCTGGCGCCACCGGGTCGAGGAGAGAAGAGTGACGTCATATGTCAAACGACTGCAGCGGTGGCCGTCGTTAGGGACACCTGTTCGGTTGTTGGTTTGGGAGATGCTGATTGGGCACTAATGACCCCTCTTCTGAGAGCAGATTATTATTTTTAACTTCCCCCATAGGTGCTTACACTTATTAATTGAAATGCAGTAGCTGGAAATTAAATATTCAGACTTATGTTGCCAAGTGGCACTATTAAACCTACACAGACATGAGCTTCAGCTGTGTTCCATTCGATCGTGATCACATCTTTTTACGTATTTGTTATCTTCATCGTTATTATCGTTTATGAAACGATTTCTCGAAAAAGGCCGCGAATGCATTTTAAGATCGCGGAATAACTCGAGCCCTAAACCTCAGAATTCGGTGTCACGCCAAGACTATCCCATCCCTCCCACCACCCACCCTTTGATGAGCCTCCCTGATGATGGTGTCTGTTATTTGCCGACAGGTCGTCGCGTCTGTCTAGGAGAGACACTCGCGCGAGTGGAGCTGTTCATATTCTTCGCAAGCATTCTACAGAACTTCGACATCAAGCTACCAGATGGCGTTACCGATCCGTCTATGGACGGAACCTTAGGCGCCACCTGGATGGCAAATCCATATCTGGTACATTTCGTCGCACGACAGTAATTCATTATGCTGTCAAAACATCACGCCGTACGAGTGATAATGTCTGCAACTTGCGATTACGCACTTGCAATTAAACTGCGTTACCTCACGTTATAACTTATTATTAAACTCTGTTATCCTAACTTGTTACTTGTGAATAAACTGCGTTATCTTACGTGTCATCCTATTATTAAACTCTGTTGTCCTAACTTGTTACTTATGAATATACTGAGTTATCTTATGTTTCAGCCTGTGATTAACCTGTGTTAACCTACCTTTTTATCTATGATTGAACTGCGTTATCTTACGTTTCTAGCTTGTAATTAAACGGTGTGTTGCTACCTGTTAACTTGTAAGTAAACAGCGGAGATGGCACGTAAACAGTGGCTATGTAATGTGTTCCTCAAAGGTGTCCGATTAAATAAGCAAATCAATGTATGTCTATGTAAATTTTGATCTCTAAAAAATTTCTGCATTGTTTGCTTGTCGAAGGCTATGGCATTGAATAACACCGAAACCGAAACATTAGAGAGCTGAATATTATCATAATAACAAATTAACAATTGACGTTTTATGTGCTTATGCGCTATTCTATTCTATATATTCTCCATAATACGTACATAAATATGAGTATGTATGTATGTTATACACAGACATACGCACATATACTCGCATACACATATACACACACATGCACATGCACATCACATCTACATGCAAATACCCATATACAAAAACGTACACGTGCAGGTACAAGTACACGTACCCGCGCACGTACCCGCACACGCACCTGCGGTATGGAAAGCGGTTTGTGCAAATATTCGAAAAACCCGCGACATATAATATAAGTTATATCAGAAGTAGAGAAAAACTCAAGTTTGATTTTGTTTACTTTGTGTTATAGTCGTTGAGTACATTGCGTTTTCCAGATTCCTCTCTCGTTTAAATTCGGTTAACTTCGGATATCTCGGACGGCAAACATCGGAATAATCGATCATGTATGCTTGTTACTTAGTATCATGTTTACTTATGTATTCTATCATTGAGTAAGCACATGCACCGAGTAATACTGATCGAGTGCCTGGTTCGAATGCTAGTGTACGCAGCGATAGCAGCGGGTAAGTGCCGATGGTAATTCTATGCAAGGCAGTCTCGTCCGAGAGAGAGCAAGGAGGAAAGATGCTCACGTCCATTTCGGGATGGGTGAAGAGGAGCAAATTTAATTAACGCATTTCGCTGCTGCGGTAGACAGTGTTACATTCTAGATGATGTACATTACATAACCACATCTCCGCTGTTTACTTACAAGTTAACAGGTAGCAACACATCGTTTAATTACAGGCTGGAAACGTAAGATTACGCAGTTCAATCATAGATAAAAAAGAAGGTTAACACGTCAGGTTAATCACAGGCTGAAGCATATGACGACGCAGTTTATTTATAGGTAAAATGTTAGGACAACAGAGTTTAATAATAGGATGACACGTAAGATAACGCAGTTTATTCACAAGTAACAAGTTAGGATAACAGAGTTTAATAATAGGATGATACGTAAAATAACGCCGTTTATTCATAGGTAACAAGTTAGGACAACAGAGTTTAATCGCAGGTTATAACGTGAGGTAACGCAGTTTAATATCAGGTTATAACGTAGGATAGCGCATATTAATCGCAAGTTAAAATGTAAAATAATTAAGTTTAATCGCAAGTGAGTAATCGCAAGTTCTAGACGTTATCACTCGTACGGCGTGAGGTTTTGACATCATTGTTGATTACTGTCGTGCGTCGAAATGCAACAGATACGGATTTGCAATCCACACGAGGCCCAAGTTTCCATCCATAGACGGATCGGTAACGCCATCTGGTAGCTTGATGTCGAAGTTTTGAAGAATGCTTGTGAAGAATATGAACAGCTCCACTCTCGCGAGTGTCTCTCCTAGACAGACGCGACGACCTGTCGGCAAATAACAGACACCATCATCAGGGAGGTTCTTCAAAGGTTGGATGGTGGAGAAAGGGGGTAGTCTTGGCCTGGCAATAAATTCTGAGGTTTAGGGTTCGAGTAGTCCCCTTGCGTGCGAAATTCCCGTTATACTGTGGTCTCAAGATGCATTTAGGATATTTTTTATGAAATTTTTTCAGTAACGATGATGATGATGATGATGATGATGATAATAATAATAATGATGATGATGATAATGATAATGATAATGATGATGATGAAGATGATGAAGATGATGAAGATGATGATGAACAATGATGATGAAGGATGATGATGAAGATGATGATGATGATGATGATGATAATAATAATAATAATGATGATGATGATGATGATAATGATAATGATAATGATAATGATGATGAAGATGAAGATGATGATGATGATGATGAAGGATGATGATGATGATGATGATGATGATGATGATGATGAACAATGATGATGAAGGATGATGATGATGATGATGATGATGATGATGATGATGATGAACAATGATGATGAAGGATGATGATGAAGATGATGATGATGATGATGATGATGATGAACAATGATGANGGGAGAGAGGGAGAGAGAGAGAGAGACAGGAGGAGGAGGAGGAGGAGGAGAGAGAGCGAGGGAGGGAATTAGAGAGCAGCAGCTATGAAACTAGTACTATATCTTCAGCCGCCCGATGTGCTGCTGTTGTCTTTTACCGCGCGACGCGATCCCTAGCCACGATCCTCTGTCACGGAGTGGCATCATGTGTGCATTATTTACATTTTCTTTCTGTGTACCTCTGTATTCTCCTTCTCCTCCCCCTTTTCCTCCTCCTCCTCTTCTTCATCCTCCTCCTCCTCCTTTCGCCGCCGTCTCCCCCTCGTCTTCATTCATTTTTTATCTCTTTCGGTCTGTTTATTTCTCCTAGTTCTTTGTCTCTATTGATTTTTCTCTCCGCTCCCCCTCTCTCTTCTCGGACTCTTGCTATCGCTTTCTTCTAACTCCATCCCTCGTCCTCTACCGCATCCCTTTTCTCTCCATCTCTTTTTTTCCCGCTCTCTATTCCTTTCTCTCTCACTCTGTTCTTTCCTCTTTCTCTCTCTCTCTCTCTCGCTGCCTCATTCTCTCTCCCTTTCTCTCTTTCTCTTACTATATGTGTGAGTGCGTGCGAGTGCATGAGTGCGTGTGCGTGTATGCGTGTGTGTACGTGTGTGTGAATATTCTCTCTCTTTCTCTCTTTCTCTCTCTCTCTCTATCTCCATCTCGCTGTCGCGCTCTCTCTCTCTCTCTCGT